TGGACACTGTGGACTGCTACAAGTACCTGTTGGTCCACCTAGACAATAAACTGGACTGTACAGCAACAGCAACACCAACACTCTACAAGAAAGAGCAGAGTCGCCTTTTTCTTCTGAGGAGACTCAGGTCCTTTTAACATCTGCAGGACCATGCTGCAGATGTTTAACCACTTGGTGGTCTCCAGCATTTTCTTCTACGCTGTGGTGTGCTGGGGCAGCAGGGTGAAGAAAGCTGATGCCAACAAACTCAATAAACTCATCAAGAGAGCTGGCTCAGCTCTGGGAGTGGACCTGCAGTCTCTGACAGAGGATGCTGAGGAAACTGCTCCAGATCCTGAACAACACGTCACACTCCCTGCATGGCACACTGGACTCTTACTGCAGCACCTTCAGTCCTAAACTGAGACCACCGAGGTGCTCCACAGAACGCCACAGGAAGTCCTTCAAACTTTTCAACTCCTCCCTCTTTCTGCACTGCACCTAGAGCTGGACAATAATTTGATATCTACATATGTCGCAATATACTTTTAGTCAATAACGATGATATGAGTTTTAAGCACATTTTCGATATTTCGATAGGATTACAGCGTTTCAGACGCATTTTTTTTCTGTTCAGGGTGAAGTGGCCGCTTCAATTTCAACTTGAACAGAAAAAGGTGCGACACAACTATGTAAGTGCATGGTGACGTAGATGTTACGCAGAGCTCGAGTCCAGAAGGAGTCAGCGGTAGCAGGCTAGGCGAGGCTGGAGGTCCTAAGATGACGAAGTGAGAGGTATTGTTTTTGCAGGCTCTTGCATACAGTTGTTGTTTAGCCGAGATCGAATCCTTTATATGTGCTTTAGCCTGTGGAAGCCAAATATTTGTACTCAGAATAAAACAATCGAGCCAGAGTTAACATTTATCTTTTATAAATGATTCTAATCAAAACACAGTTAGCAGTTATCTTTTATAAGTGATTTTAATCAAGACATAGTTAACATTTATCATCTATAAGTTAATTCAACCGAGCCACACTTTAATCAAACAATATTTTAACATTTCTCTTAACTTGTGATCTGCTTGCTGCAGGCTTTTTGGCAGCACAGAGAAAAACAGTTATGCACAAATAATTCTTCTGAAAACACTCAGCTGCTGATAAGACACAGACCAGACAGATGGCCTTGCACATAAAGGCACAGTTTTGGAGGATGCACCGCTTGTATCAGGCTCGAACTGATTTACAGTTGCAAGGTGGAAGTTGAGTTTGTTGCTGTAGCAACGAGAGACCTCAGCACTAGAAACATCTAATGATGAGATGTTCCTCCTCTGGAGAGAGGCGGAACCAGGGATAGTTTAAAACATCAGGACCCAGGAAGTCTGGTCAGACGAGTTGTCAGGAGTCGCTCGGCGCGCTGGCGGTTGACAATAGCGGAAGTAACGTTACTGTACTGGACGAAGGCTTGGAGGAAATCACGATCAAAGGAGGAAACTTGGAAGAATTCAAGTCGGAAACTTTGACGGTTGGCATAAACCGGTTTGTGAATGAATCAGGATGGCAGCTAAGGAGGTAGAAGAGGAGGATTTAGATAGTGACATG